CTAATTTAGTGACTTGGGGACGAGAGTCGCGGACAAAACATGTACACCCAAAGATTTTAGCTTCGATGGGAAACAAATGTCTATTTGGAAAAAGAGTATTATAAGAAGTCCCACCATTTAGAACACATAAAGGCAGACGATTGACTAGAAAGCAAGTTGTGGACACTGCATTAGCCCAAAAATATTTAGGAACATGCATTTGAAATGATAAGGCTCTTGCAGTTTTGAGCAAATGTCTATTCTTTCGTTCTGCGACCCCATTTTGGGATAGTATATCCACACAAGAGATTTGATGAATAATGCCATTTTGCACCATATAAGATTGAAAAGGTGGGAATAAATATTCTTTGGCATTGTCACTTCGTAATATTTGTACAGAACACTTAAATTGAGTCTTAACCTCAGCACAAAAAGCACAAAAATGAGAAAACAACTCTGACCGATTTTTCATTAAATATAACCAAGTCATACGAGAATGGTCATCGACAAAAGTAACAGAATACTCGAATCTAGTTTTAGAAATGACTGGATTAGGTCCCCAGACATCTGAATGAACTAATGCAAAAGGAGCATCCGCTCGTTCATTGACTCTAGAACTCAGATTAACACGATGATGTTTGGCAAACTGACAAGACTCACAATCTAATGAAGACAAACTCTGAAATTGTGAACAAAGTGTCTTTAACAACGGGAGAGAAGGATGACCCAACCTACAATGTGCTTCAAATGGAGTTACAATTCCAGAACAAGCTATGGACTTTGGTATCTGTGTGTCAAGGATGTAAATGTGAAGACTCACAAAATTTATCTATTTTAAACTCCTGTTACGTGCTTATTTAAATATTTAATTGTCTGTTTGCCCCGAATATTAATTTCTAAACTTTTTAGACCTAATTACATGGATCTACAGCTTAGTTATATTTTTTAAAGTGACTTGTTTCAAAATTTAATTTTTGAAAGTTCGTTAAGTGAGAATAGTAAATGTGCGTTTGGAGACAATAACCGATTTGAGGATACAATAAACTTGAAAAATTGGAAACTTGTACATTAGTCTTAAAATAGGTATTTTTATGTTTAAGTGTTCAAGTGTTAGATAGTTATACTAACGTTATAAGAATTTCTTGAAAATTTCACTTTATCGCGCACAAATCGGAAGTACGCGTTTTTACGCGCGCGATTAATTGAGGGGTTTTAAACCTTTATTTTTAGACCATTAAGAGTGAATAATAATAGTATGAATGTAAGTGCATTAGAGGTTTAGTGCATTAGTGCAACAAACCCGAGAGGAATTGGGCGCGAAACGCGCGTGAACGCGCACTATTCCCGGTTGACTTTTGGGACAAATCTTGGCCACAAATTCTCAAGCTTTCTCAAGAAGCTACAACACTCTCTACACTCTCTTTTCTCTCTCCTGGTGGCCGGCCAAAACAGCAAGGAAGGAGGAAGAAAAGCTTCACCATTTTCACTCCAAATCTTTGCACCAATCTTTCTCCATTTCATCTCAAAATCACACTACACTTTGCTAACCACTTGGAGACCACCTCAAGCTAGAAAAGGGCTTGCTTTCCACGGTTTTTTTTTTTGAGCTTCAAGAGGCCAAAATTTCTGTCTTGATCATCCAAAGACGTAAGTGACGATCAACCCTCAAATTCTTGGTTTATGGAAGCTACCTTGCACTTATAAGCTCATATAATCATGTGGGTAGCTTTATTTTTGTTGAAAATTGGATGTGTGGGATCTATGAACTCCCACTTTGGTTTGATGGACTGATTTTGTGAGTTTTGATGTTAATAATGTTGGATTAATGCTTAAATTAGTAGAAATGAGTGATATTATGAATGAAAGCTCAAAGGAAGTGAAGGGGAGAATTTTTCCATTTCTGCCCCTGTGAATGCCGTGACCTTTAGAGCAATTTTTTGAAGTTCTATTGACTTGTTTATGATGTGTATATGTTATATGGGTTGTGTGGAAGGTTTCCACAAAACATTACGTGATTTGGATGGCCAAATATGGTGATTTTGAAAGTTTATTCAAAACTGGAATTTTTCCCGTATTGCACTGGCAGTGCTTTTCAAACAGCTATAACTTTTTGTTCCAACATCGAAATCGAGTGCCGTTTGCAGCACTGGAAACTAGACATTCCTAATTTTCCAACGGTATAAAATACACGTCATGATTCCACCTGAGTAATCCAAACCAATTATTTGAACGTGACTGTCCTGTTTCGCTAATTCCCTGGAAGCTCTGTTTTGAGCAGCGAATTGATGCTCAAATGTGAGCTAGTTGTGGACAGATTTTGAAAATGATTTCTTCTGAGAAATTGTAGCTTTATGAATCTAGTTTTCAACTCCATCAACCACGCTCAATTCCAAGTTGAATTGAGTGAGTTGTGGCCAAAGTTCGAAACTGATTTAGGGATTGAAAACCCTCTTTTGGCTAGTTGATGCCTTAACCTTGATTGGGACTTGTTGTTTCGAAATTCTTGGTGTTAATCACCTATCAAACACATCTTGGATACTTCTTAGATATTGTCTACCTAAATGAACCAGATTTCAGATGTTTTCATTGGCCGAATATTTAGAAAAGGAGAATTTGCATACAAGGCAGATTTGCCTTGGAAACTTGTGGGATTTTAACAATTTTGTTAACTGACTTTCCGTACGTATTTTTCTATGAAATTTTACAATGGAATAGCCCTTATATGGTAGTATAACACTACTAAATTTGGTCCCATTCCGAGTCCGTTTTGATATTCAACCAAAGTTCCAACGGTCATGAATTAAATCTGGAATTTGGCCTAACTGTCTCACTTTTTAGTAACTTTGAGTAGCCATATCTTGGTGCTCGAAACTCCAATTCTTGTTCTTCTTGTTGTGTTGAAAACTTTGATTGTAACTCTAATTGAGTTCCAAATTTTAGAGGCTAGTTCACATTGTGTGAATTTTGCCAAATTTCCAAACTTTGTCGGAAATCAACCCAAATCTCTCCTAACTTTCCAAAACAGCAACTTTGGGCCAAATTTCGAATATCTTCCATTTGGAATCATTGAAAGGTGTCTTCTAAAAACTTTTTAGTACTTTGGAAGTAGTTTCCAAAGGTACCAAGTTTTCAAATTTTGGACTTGTAGAGAGTGAGATACAATTTTTCAAAATAGGTGTAGCAAATCTGAAAATTCCTAACTTAAAAGAAATGGAGTTTTTCAAACTCATCTTTTTCCTTCGATATCACTTGATCGTTTTACACTTGATTTCAAAGATGAAAATCAGATTTCGCTTGTGTTATAAAACCCCACTTTTGAGCTTCGATTTTCGAGTAATTAAGGTTCATTTTCGTAAAATTTTCTTAGATTGTACAAGTGTGCAATCTTTCTTGATAATTGGAGTTTATAAGTGATAGTTCATTATTAATTACTCAGCCACTCGAGAGGACCTCCAAGAGGATCTCACGGGAGACGCCTAATCAATCGCTTGTACTTGCTACTTGATTCACTCGGTGAGTGTCAAGTGTATGAATACTTGATACATGCTTAATTGCTATAATTGATTGGAGATTTTGAAAATGGAGGTGAGTGTGTACTTTACTGCACTCATTCTTATTTGAAATAAATGAATTATTAATGACTTGATTGAATGAAATGAAATGATTAAATGCTTGAATGAAATGAAATTGTATGTTATGGCTGCATACGTCGTTGGAGTGAATCTTCTCGACTCTCAAATGTACATGGGGGACGCCCAAACTCATAGGCCGACCTTGGGACTCGAGCCGGCATGGGGTTGGTCGGGACCCTCGGTGAGCCATAAGAATAACATGACAAACTTGATCTATTGAAGAGATCTTGCTTGGCCTACTCGTGCAGTAGCGCTTTTATCGTCGTTCGGGCCGGGTGGGGGTTTGTAAGGTGGACGGATATGAGAAGTAAGTGGAGTTCTACGGATTGAAAATATCGACCCGGTTGATGGAGAGTCATCACGGGAAGATATACGAATGAAATTTGCAAAGTAAGTGGAAATTAGCTCCTGAGAGTTACCATATCCTTGAATTGTTTCTGTTTACTTTTCTCGCTCGAATTATTATTTATTGCAATATTATTGCTCTACTTGTTAAATTGGGATTGTTACTTGAATAATGTGCCTGCATGTGTGTTCTTGGCCTCACGAGAATTTTGCTCACCCTGTAGTTTTATTTTTCTTAACAGGAAAGGATCAGAAGTGAACCTCGGAGAAATCCCTTTTGAATGTACGTTTGTATTAGGGTTTTCAATGTACTTGGCTAGACTCTGGATTATTGCATATTTTGGGATTTGATGTAACCGTTGTGAACTTGATATAAGGATTGGATACTTGACGTTTTTTGGAATCCGTGATGTAAGTTTGAATGTTAGTTATGGGAGTGACCTCCCTTTTCTTACTTATATCATCGTGATGGCTGGTATTTCATTAAACTTGAACGGAATTTGTCTTGAGTCCTGACGAGAGTTGGGCAGGCGTCTCGCGGATACCCTTTGGTTCGCCTTAGGAAGAAGTGGGGGCGTCACAGTTGGTATCAGAGCGCTAGGTTAGAAATCTATTTAGAAGTTATATTAAAAACCTTATCTTTAAGATTTGAAATAGGATGACTCAGTCATACCTTAAGTGATACTTGGACAAGTTAGTGACTAAGTTGGTCATGCATTAAGCGACATTCGTGCGAGTTAGTGATTAAGTTTCTAACCTGAAAAGTGTAGTTGTTTTGCAGGGATGAAAAATGAAAATGGAACTCCGGCAGCTAATGGGAATGACCATGCTAATGGTCATGTAGAGCCTTCTAGGCCTATTTACTACCAAGCTCTTGATAGAGGGGCTCGCGTGCGTTACTCACCTGCCAATAGGTATCTCCGATGTTCGTGTAGATTGATCTTCGCCTACCCGAACCATCTCGTGCTAGCTTTGGACGACGAGCGTCGTCAGTTGGTGAACCTCAACCGAGATTTGCAGGAGAAGGTAGATGAGCTTAGACAGATGGATGGCGCTCAGGGTAAGAGGGTCGCTGAGCTCGAGGAGACACTGGAGGGTGAGGTGGCAGCGGCTGCAGTTACTCGTGAGGAGCTCCAGAGAACTAGGGCTCGACTTACTAGATTAGGAGTGGAGGTCTATGATTTTGGCTGATGCCACTGAGATGATAGAGGGGGTGTCGGATATTGTCCAGAATCCAGTTCAGGGGGAGGACTTAGAGGAGGATCCGGAGGAGGATCCTGAGGAGGAGATTCCTCATGGTAGTCCTACTGTGGACTAGGTCCCTAGTGATTGACTCTTTTGACCCTTTTGATTGGTACAGTTAGGATTAACTGGGGTGATGCGAGTGCTGAGACCATTGTATTTTGCGTGACTGTGTGGCCTACTTTTGTGGCACTTGATTTTGCTTTAGTCTTATATGACTGAAAGTACTCTTGTGACACATGTGTGCTATATTTTTGTGATTTTCCCCATGACTTGCTAATTGTATGGATTTTGACAAGTTAATGAATGTAAATTATCGTTATTTTCAATGCTTTCGTGATTGGTTCTTGTTTTAAATATTTTCTTGCGTAATTGATTCATTTCTTGCACTAGGCACGCCTAGGATAATGGAAGGACTAAGGAGTGGTCGAAACCATGGGCGAGAGACTAAACAGGCCCAACCTCAGGGGGATGATCAGGGATCGGCAACTGGACCGACCCAGGGACAAGAAAATATTGAGGGTAATCAACTGGTTACTGCCATTAATAGGATGACTGATATCCTAGAGCGGTTAGCTGATAGACAAGGTCCTGGACCGTTTTACTAACTTGGAGGACAGGATAGAGGAGAGGATAGAGCCTTGGAGAGATTCTTGAAATTTAACCCGCCTAAGTTTATTGGTGAATCTGATCCTGAGGTAGCGGAGAATTGATTGGAAAGGGTGACTAATATATTCGCTGCCTTAGACTATACCGAAGATAGGCGAGTGAATTTTGCTGCTTTCCAATTTGAGGGAGTGGCTCGTGCTTGGTGGGACATGATAAAAGGAAAATGGGAGAGAACCCAAACCCCTTGGACTTGGGAGAATTTTACGAGGGAGTTTAATGAAAAATTTCTTCCACCTTTGATCCAAGAAAAGAGGGAGGATGAGTTTATCAAGTTGAAACAAGGGACCCTTAGTGTAGCAGAGTATAAAGGGAAATTTACTAAACTTTTCAAGTACGCTCCTGAATTGGTGATTAAAATAAATATTATATAATGTTTAGTAATTAAAATTAACTATATAATTAATAAAGTCGTTTTGTCTCATTTACTAATTTCTATTCATTCAAGAAGAGTCTGACTCTTCATTAAAGAGTCTTGAGAGCCTACTAAATCATTTTGTCATCGTCTTTGCCGCTGAAGAGTCTTTAGTCTTCGAGAAGAGAACCCAAAGGCCAAATATCGGTCTTCAATCTTCATACTCACAGAGTCACACTCACACTTACAGCTCTAAGGAACAAATAGTCAAAGCTCCACAAGACCACCAAATTGACCGAAGTGATTCTTCATTCATTTCCATTTCTTCAAAGAATCAAAATCGCAAGTGAGAGTTCTCCAATGTCTGAAGGCCAGCCGAAGCACTTTGTTTGGTTACCCTTGATTTCTCTCACGACCAACCACTTCACCAAAGACCAACGATTTTTGAACTCTCCGTGCGGACCGTGCCTCCACTGGCCATCTCGCAGGCTCGCACTTCGGATTCTCCGGTTGCAACTTTCAATCTCGATCTCCAAAACCAGAGGCAAGGTAACTTTTAATTTTGGTCTCCAAATTTTTTATCTGTCCGATCTAATGTGTTTTCCCTTTTTTTATTTAGAGTTTTATTTTTATTATTTTTATGGTACTTATAAACTGCACCTTGGTTTTTATTTTTTTTATTTTTTGTGATTTAATTATGGATGTCAAATCTTTGGGTCATAGAATGGTCTAATATATCTTGGTTTACTATCTGGAACTGCCCTTTAGCTCTAGCTTTTATGAATCCTTTAATTTGAACTGCATTACCTGAGTACCCCGGTGGTAGCATTCACTGGAATGTATGTTTAGGGAGTTGAGGTAGTTGTCTTTATACAGTTTTTATTGGTAGGTATCCAAATATGTTGTTGATATGTGGCAAACCAGTATTAAGGTTTGCCAGTTTTCATAATGAATTGGCCAATTGGGTTGGATATCCAATTAGTTATTTTATTTTAACTTAAACTTGCTTATTGATTTTTTTTCATTTCTCAATCAAGGAAAAAATTATCCTGTCAATCTTTTGACTGCTGTGCATATTCGAACCACATTCTTAGAAATCAAAACTGGGAAATTCTGAGGTATGAATTTGTTGTATTTGCATAGTAACATTTTTTTTAATACAATGATCACTTTGTTATTTCTCTTATGTGTACCAGTAAATACTTTACCTCCTTGACAATGTCCTTTTTTTTGGCATTAGATGTCAGATGCAAACAATGAAGACATTGTTATTACAATCACAGATGTTGAAGCAACAGAAACTGCAGCTAAACAAGAACCTGAAGGAGAAGAAACAAATAAAGGTGAAAAGAGGAAAAGAGAAGTGAAGGTCAGGTCCAAAGTTTGGGCCCATTTCACCAAGATTTCACCAAAGGAGGAGGAATGTACTTGCAATTATTGCAAGAAAGTTTTCTCCTGCCGCAGTAAAGGAGGAACAACTCATTTGCATCGACATATACTTGGGGGCATATGTGTAGCCTACAAAAGAGCCATAGGTGGACAATCGTCAAAAGGGCAAACACTTCTTAGTTTCCCCAAAGGTAATTCAGATCAAGCTAGTAACTCTGTTTGGAAATTTGATCAAGAGAGTAGTCGAAAAGATCTAACGGAGCTTATAATTAATCGAGAGCTGCCATTCAATTTCGTTGAAGATAAATCATTTCAGAAGTATGCTCTGGGTCTTAATCTGAAGGTTAAATTTGTGTCTAGAAACACAATGAAAAGTGACTGTATGAAAATATATGAATTTGAAAAAAGTAAATTGAAGGAGATCTTTTTTCAATCCAAACCAAAAGTATGTTTGACAACAGATACTTGGACATCTAAGACGGATCTTCCTTTCATGGCATTGACTGCTCATTTCACAGATCATCATTGGAAATTGCATAAAAAAATTATCAATTTTGTCTTGGTTCCAATGAAGGCATCAGGGGAGAATCTATCTGATATAATTATCAATTGCTTGCTAGAGTGGAATATTGATAAGATATGCACCATAACTATGGATAATGCTTCAACTAATGATGTTGTTGCTAGATGCCTGCAAGAGCATTATTCATTTAGAGGTGCATTATTGGTAAATGGGAGCAATATTCAAGTTCGTTGTTGGGATCATGTTCTTAATTTGATTGTTCAAGAAGGATTAGATGAGATTAATGATTGTATTCATAGGGTTAGGAATGCAGTGAAATATGTTAGAGGATCTGCTAAGAGAAAACTTGAGTTTCTACACTATCTGACCAGGAATGTATTTCTAGAGGCAAAATGTTATCTCTAGATATATGTACAAGGTGGAACTCAACACATTTAATACTTGAATCTGCATTACATTATAGGAGAGCTTATGACCGCATGAAAACTCGTGATTTGAACTTCAAGGATCCTCCCTTGGCTGATGATTGGGAAAAAGCTCGGATTGTTCATGGTTTTCTAGAAACTTTTTACACTGTCACAAAAATTTTATCTGGCAGCAAATATTACACAGCTAATGTGTTTCTTCGTGAAATTTACCGTGTGTTCATATTATTAAGGGAAACTTCTATAGAGGACAGCCCACTTCTTGGAAGTATGGCAGTGAACATGTTGGTGAAATTTGAGAAATATTGGCTAGAAAAAGAGCCAAATATCTTGCTATCTGTTGCTTTTGTTTTAGATCCCAGGTTTAAAATGAGAAAATTGAAGACCATCTTTAGCAAGATTTATGAGAGCTATTTAGCACCATATATGTTAGATCGTGTTCAAAAAACACTTCAAGATCTTTTCATCGAGTATGTAAAGGCTTATGAAGTGAGTTGTCAGCAGGATATAACTTCACAAAACGAAAAAACTACAGGGACAAGCAGCATCACTTCTTCCACAGCAAAGAAGAATTACATAGATGATTTTTATAGCCTTGACGAGGAAGAAGATAGCACTTGTAGCAAGACAGAGTTGGACTCTTATTTGGAGGAAAAGATATATCCAGGCAAGGCCGATGAAGAAGAATCATTTAATGTATTGGATTATTGGAGAACTCATGCAACCAAATTTCCAATATTGTCCATGATGGCAAGAGACATTTTATCTATTCATGTTTCTTCAGTTGCATCTGAGAGTGCTTTCAGTACAGGGGACGTGTTTTGAACAAGTTTCGTAGCTCATTGTTACCCTCCACTGTTGAAGCATTAATTTGTGCTTAAGATTGGATTAAAGATGCACCTAAGGAATTTGATTTTGAACAAGAATTTGATCCTAATTTTACTGGTTAGTAGCAATATTTAAAAATTTTCATTAATTATTTGATTTCTTGTTGATGTTTAGACTAACAAGTAGTGTTTATTCTACCAGCTCCTCCTCCATCCAAGAGTTAAAATCAACTCCTCTACCGGTTTTTTTGAGAGCCAATATTCATAATGCAGACTTAAAACTCTAACTTTTTTTGTTCATTGAATAAATTTTTATATTGACATAATATTGATTGATTTCTTTTTGTATTGGCATGTTTGGATTCAAGTCACAAGGTTATGAAAAAGTTCTAATATTTGAAAATATATTGGCTTATGACCATGTGTTTTATTATTGTTTTTAATGTACTTTGAATGAATTAGACATAAATATTGTTGAAAAAATTCTTGGTTTATGTACTTTTTAAGAATTATTACTCGTTCGTGTTTAGTTTTAATATTACACTTCTGTGAATGTTAAATCAGTTTTACAACTTAACAATTATAGCAATTATATTAAGAAAATTGAGTAATAAGTGAGTTTGAGCTAAACTCGAATAAGACTCACAACCCGAATATTATGTGAGTTGAATATGAACTTCACATTTATTAACCCGAAACTCATAACTCGAAATCCGAAGGTGTTATAAATTAAATGAGCTGAGCTTGAACTTATAAAAGCCCGACTCATTAGACCCGATTGACAAGTCTAAAATAAGCTGAAGGTGGGAGGTAGCACCCAAAGACTCGAAAAGTCAACCTCTAAACAGACCAGTGCTGGAGGAAGCCGACCAAAGGTACCTGCTAGGGTTTATGCACTGGATCATCAATAGATACCTGATGCGACTAAGGTAGTTGAAGGTAAGGTTCCTGTTTTCCACCGTTTAGCTAAGATTTTAATTGATCTCAGTGCGACACATTCTTTTGTAAATCTTAATTTCATGAGCGGAATAGACTTGAAGCCAATTAAATTACCCTATGACTTGGATGTTAGAACGCCTACTGGGGACCAAAGTTTAATCGCTAATTTGGTATATAAAAATTGTGAGATCTGGGTTGAAGAATGTAAATTACTGGCTGATTTGAGAGGCTTAGCAATTAAAGGGTATGATGTGATCTTAGGAATGGACTGGTTAGCCCGTTTCAATACTCAGTTGAATTGTAAGATGAAGATAGTAGATGTAAGGATCGAAGACAATCTAAGAGGGGGGTGAATTAGGTGGTTTAAAAGCTAGCCAAAATATAAATCCCTTTTTTTCTGAACTAGCCCTCTTTTTCTAAAGTACCAGACCAATGAACAACTTATGATAAAGCGGAAGTAATTTAGAGCAGAAGAGATAAATAGTTAATGTTGCAAAATAGTGAATAAGAAGATGGAATAGCAAACCAAATCTCAAACTCGACTAGAGTTTGAATATCCCTTTATATTGTAAGCTCCTTCAAGTTGATTCAACATACAACCAATTTCTTGTGTACACGGGAAGGATCACTTCCTCCTTGCCTCAAGATACACTTGATCAAGCAAGGAAGTTTTACAATCACTGGAATAACCCTCACAAATCTACACTATTGAAGAAAATGAATCACACTTGAAAAGCTAAATATAGATCACACAACTAAGAGTACAAATCTTCTTTTTGGAGTATTCTTATGTTTGAATTACTCAAGATCTGATGTAGACTTAATGTGTATCGATACTCTTGGTGGTTGACTTTTATCCTATAATAGACCAAAAACATCTTCAATTAATGCCACTAACGGACACAAGGTAGCTGAAAAGTCAACTAGCCGTTAGTAGTGTCGGACGTCCGGTAGGCTGGTTTTGTACGTCCGAACGCAGGTAGTGATTTCAAGAAAATTTTCTTGAAATCTTTAGGACGTCCGACAACATCAGAATATGCGTCCGACCATATGATGTAAAACTTGGAATCTTTCATTGATTCTTTCGGACGTCCGGTGCTTCTAATGCCTGTCGTCCGAAGTGTTGCAACGATTGTTGGACGTCCGGTGCTCAGGTATTGTGCGTCCGATCGAGGTTAGAGATTTTAGAAGTGCTGACTTATCAGCTTCGGACGTCCGAAAATAGGTTCTTTGCTCGTCCGAAGATATTCAACGGTTATCGGACGGCCGATAGGATGTATTTGTGCGTCCGACAGATGTTTTAGCAGATGCTTGGCCTTTGAACCTGTCTTGCTCCATTTTCTGACAAAAAATAAACTTGGAAAACATTAGTTTTATCCACTTATTTTGTAATCATCAAAAGGTACGAACAAAGATAAACAATCTCCCCCTTTTTGATGATGACAAAACAATGGATGAAATGAGGAAATTTTGATATAGTTTCCCTTTTCTTAGAGAGGTCTTGGAGTATTTACAACTCCCCCTCAGAAAATTTTCTGTGCCCCACAGAAAATTTTCATACCCCACAGAAAAATTTACTTGACTCCCCCTTACATATAGATCAGATTCTTGACTCCCCCTCACATATAGATCCTGATTCCATCCATGTTTCTCCCCATTTTTGTCATCATTACAACAATATCCATATCAGAACCAAAATTAATCAGAACTAAGATCAGAGCAGCAACAAATAACAACAATCAACAAGAACTGACATAAACAGATAAGAGAGATAGCTAACAACGGATTTAAGACATCCATTTAAGACAGGAGAGACAACATCCATTTAAGACAAGAGAGACACAACCATAATATAGAAACATCTTCCAATAACGGATAGTTAAATATTTTTACAGACCAGTAGAGGAGTAAACTCCTTAAAATTAACAAGCACACCAGATATCTTTTAAGAGCAAAATATGCAAAAGAGAATTATTGAGAACTACTCATGAAGTGCAGTGACCTAGTAGTGCCTATATGGTGATATTGGATGATCCAGGCCTTCTCCTAGTCAAACGAAATTGCTCAGGATCCACATGATCTTCCTCTTCAGTATCTTCAGCATCAACTTCAGTCGCCTCTTCAGAGATGGGAGCTTTTCCTTTATTCTTGGGCTGAGAACTGGAGGCATGAGCTTCTGGAGTATCTTCAGTACCAGGAGTGTTCTCAGTAGGCTCAGTTCTGGGCTCTTTTTGATGAGCATGTTCATTGTTCACAGAAGTGGGAGGCACAAGAAGATTTCGTTTCTCTATGAAGGAAGCCTGCTGGTCAGGTGTCATGGTCGACATTAAACCATCTTCAATGAGCATAACATGTTGCTTGAGGTCTTCAAACAACGTGATGACCTCAGAGTTGTATACAAAGGACTTGTTGGCTGATTTTCTAGGGTGAATGGTGAAAGGAGAGATATACATGGATTGATCCCGAGGGGTCCTAGGAGTGACTGGAGTTTCATGAAGGCTCTTTCTTCTTAACTCTGACAGAGGTTCCTTGTGACACCAGTGACCCTAAAAAAACTTCAAATTTTTTCGTTCAAAATAGGCTTTTGAGAAAACAGTTGAGGCACTATCTCTAGGAGACTTTCCAGTGAAGGGAATTTCAAGGTGAGCAAAGATGGGAGTCAGGAATTTTCCATAGGAAAGGTTCCTACGACTGTCGGTACTAATCTTAAGTAGGAATTTGCACATCACAAAACCAAAATCGATTCTGATCTTTTCCACAAAATAGTAAAACAGATACAATTCCATTTTGTTTGCATCGGTTCTGTGACCATCAGTGGGTACCAACAGATTGGAAACAACGGTGAAGATAATCAAGTTCTGAGGACTGAGATCCTCTAATCTCGCCTCAGCAGGAGTGTTGAAGTGAGTACGAAAGTAAGTCATTAACTTGGAGATGTGAAAATGATGGTAAGCAGAGGGGAATTCTTCATATGAAAAGAAATTTGTAATTTTTCCGCTGAAGCCATCTTCAATCTTAGTTTTCAAAACAGAGTTAATGACATCAGGAGTTAAAGTGATATCAACAGAATTGACTCTAGAGATAAGCTCGGTGTGTGGGTTTTCTTTCCTAAGATTTGCAAAAAACTGGTAAAGCATGTCAGGGTAGAAGGTGTGTGGGATAGTCAGGAGGTGAATCCATTTTTGGAACTCAAAATGCTTAAGCACAGGTTCTAAATCAATCTTACGAAATTCATATGGGATGACAGACCTCTGAATGATGAATCGTTTTTGAGAGATTAACTCAAATCAATCTCTGGCCTCGTCATCAATGAACTTTGGCAGGGGTGTTGGTTCTTTGACAGGCTGAGCCTCTGGTTCCTTTGAAGTGCTTTTCCTTTTTGCATTTTGTTTGGCAGATGACCCAGTAGTCTGAGCACCAGACCTTGTCCTAGGTGATTTTTTGGTAGAGGGTTCAGGTGTTTGCTGTTCCTCAGCAATTTGTTCCTCAGTTTGATGTGCTTCCACTTGTACAGGAGATGAATCAGCAGTTGGAGCATCCTGTATCTTCTTTGCAGGTTGCTTTGCCTTTCTACCACGAGTCCCTGTCCTCTTTTTGAATACCCTGTTGGAAGGTTCTACGATCTCAACATCTTCATCCCTGAGTCTAAATGTGCGTCCGGCACTTGCTGAACCGCCTCTAACTCTCACCATGATGTAATGCAGATGATTCTTGAGATGCAGTGTAGTGCAGATGCGTGTCAAATTGACTACTAGTGTGTTAAGAGCTGCAGAGGATGCTTGAGATGATTACAGGTAGTGGATTTGGAAAAGTTAGGGTTTCTAGTATGAATTGGGAATTATGAGACAGTTGGGAGTTATGGGGTGTTATGAGTGAAGTAAAACGGTCAATGGAAGTGTAATGAAATTGGTTGGATCAATTCCTTGGAACTTGAATGCGGGACACGACTAATTTGAATTTTGAATTTGAAGGAGAACCGAAGGGTTGCGTTCGAGTCTAAGGAGGTAACTGAACTGAATGAAATGGATGGCTTCTTTATAAGACGCAGTAAATTGAGTG